TACCTTATTTGACTTCCATATGATTTCAGGTGTCGAGAACGCATGGTGAATAGCAGCGATGGTTCCGAATCAACCTCTATCAAAGGAACAAGTACGGCGAACGTTCGACAACCTTCCCAAAGTGGAATGGTGACTCTGGGAGCCTCGGTCATTCGCCTGACCGTTGCTAATCTATTGGCATCGTCTAACAATGAGCTGAATGCAGTGGACAGCAACCGTGCGTTCTTTGATATGAGCGCCCTGCTCAGCGAGCATGCAGTCATCGACCCTAGATTACAGGACATCAGATGTAACGCAGCGTCAGAGACAATATCGTCACGCGGTCGGCTGTGCGACGGCTGTAAACCTGAGGCCAAATTAAGATTTTTCAGCTTCCCAAAAATTCGGCCCCTAAAATATACAGTACATCTGATGTAAAAATTTATCAAACATTATAGTAATTTACAAGAAATCTGCTCAACGAGCCCTGAAGGTTCAAAGGTGATACATATTAAGATTGCATTTTTAAAACACAGTCGAAACGAAATATTTGCAAGTACAAACAAAAATTATTCCATTGCAATAAGTAATTGAAACGTACATAAAGATTAGCAAAACCAGAGAATGAGTCAAAATAAAAATTTAGCTATGCTTAATGCTGCATGAACATTTTCAATCGCCAACAAAACTAGGAAAATGTTCTCTATGTTCAATAACGAAAAACAAAATCTCATAAAATAACGTTGGCGGATTTGCGATACATCAAGCAATAACACTGCCTTTGCGTTCAAAATCTCCAATTAATAATGAGAATAGCTGGAGACCGTGGAGAAGTTTCTTTAAAACTAAACCAACTACTCCTTATGGTATTACCGGCACCTACCATTATATCGGCTATGTCCGTCAACACGGCCGTGCAGGTTGTTGGTGGACCGAAGTAGTCTGATAGAGGTCGGCGATCAGAACCTCTTTATCGCCCTCTAACAGACCGGTCGTCGCAACGCGAAAGTGGCTGCAGGAAATTGACAAAACGACGTGAAAACAATAAACAGCAACAGAGCAGCTGCCAGTTCTCAATGGAGGGAGCAGACATCGCGACGCCATCATAGCAAATCCAATAAGGAACGACATCGAGAGTGAAAGCTTACAGTCAGAAATCGGAGCATATCATCATTTAGAGGGAAAGAGCAGGAGTTTGTTGATGTAAGGATTCTAACTCGAAACAGTCGGACTCTCGTCAACGAAGCGTAAGGCTCTGGAATTCTCAACCACTATGGGCACTGATATCATTGCGCGCGCTTAGGCTAGTGTAGGTGTTCAGATAGAATAGGCAATTTCAATTGTCGTGTCTGAGCACACACTGAAAATTAAAAAGGCGTGATCGCTAAAAATTTCCTGCTGAATTCAACAACAATGGAATAAAGTTGTTGCGGTTTTGTTCAAACAGCCGAATGCTTCTTATGAACACCTTGTTTGGGTATCGAAGCTTGCGTTGTGTGTTTGATACAGAAAAGCATCTGAAAACAAGTCAGTTATCGATTTTATAATCGCATCGCCTGATCTACGATCTCCTGTAATGGTCTTTCGCGTTAAGAGAGACGCAGAGCCGTTAATGATCATTATCTTGCCGTCGGCAGGTTCACCATAAGAATTGGAGCACCATGCGACGACCTGGTGGCAGAAGCAACCAGAGAATCAAATAAGAGACAATGTTATCTGTGATGTGAGGGCGAAACTTGCGAACATCATTGCAGGACTGCTTGAACTGATACCGCTAATGACTGCTGATGTGACAACCGAGTGAAAGCTCTTTAAGAGCGGCTCACTCAGGGCTGTCGAGAGATGCTACGGATTTAAATGGGTTGGTCTGCCACCTGGAGGTCAGGAAAGAACTTCCTGGCGGACACGGAAAAGATAGATGGCTGCCATCGAGAGAAGGCTGTATTCAAGAGATGAGTTGAAAACTAAAAGCCTTCAACTTGCACGTGATAATAAGCTTGAGGTGATAGCAAAAACAACGACGAAAACCAAAGCTGGCTCGTGGCAGAAGTTCGGTGAGGTATTAGAGTCGAATTTCCCGATGTAATACGATATTCTTTTACAGCGTCTACCGTCACTGAAGTGAAAAGATTGAGGCCTAGAGGACAAGTCTCAACACGATATTCTCGAAGAAAAGATTTATTCGGAAACGGAGAGAGCATTTTAACAAACTGCTTAGCCGCGAACAAGGAAGACTCGACTGTAGAGTAACAGGAAACGGACATTTGTATTGCTGTGGATGAAATCACAGAAGCTGTGAAAAGCCTGAAATGTTGAAGGCCAGCTGGAACGAATGAAATCAACCCTAAAGCAAGAGGCAAACAAGCCATGTGTTGAATTACATGTTTCTCTCAAAGAGGGCTACAAAGACGACACCAGCGGGCTAGAGAACGGGGTTGTTGCACTCGTGCTGAAAAACGAAGACCGCAGCGAGTGCTTCATTTATAGGGGCATTACTTTATTGAGTCCCCAGGGAAAAGCTTGTGCAAAGGTGCTAGAAGGGAAGCGCCTTGGAATAATTAACTCCAAGATAAAGCACGAGCAGTATGGCTTTTGATCGGGCCACAGCAACTCTGACCATATATTCGGCCTATGCCAGATTGTTCAGAAATTGTGGAAGTTCGCCCATCCAATGTACACGTGCCTTACTGCCTGCAGAATGCATAGGAACGGATCTCGCGCAACGTACGTTCTATGAGAATGACAGCGAAGATCTGGGTTCGACTGTCAGTTGCTACAGGCCATCCAATCACTATATGCTGATAGCAGGTACTGCGACAGACAAAATGGCGTTAAGTCGAAGCGTTCAAGCGTTGGTACTGGTCTCCGCAAAAGACTGCGTTCTGTCCCCTCTCCTGTTTGTGTTGTACATGGATAGAATAATGAGGTATAACCAAGGTGATGAGTGCATCGGTGTAACAGATATGGGGACGTGAAGGTTGCTGGTTTCAGAACAATTTGTTTTATTGACATCTTCTGAAACTGATCAGTTGCATTTTATAGAAAAGTCTGCATCCGAGAGCAACGTAGCCGGCACCCCTGTGAATGTTTCTTAAACGAATAGCCTAGTGCTTTCTCGTTCTCTTGCCCTTTTCAAATAAACAATGATGCAGTGGAGCAGGCGGAGAAGTTCAGGCACATCAGGGCCTTGTTTAAGGGTGATAGTAAATTTCAGGAGGCCATCGACCGGCTGATTGGAGTAGCCAGTGGTGTTCTATGCGAACTAGATCGAACCGTTGTGACTAAAGCATACCTGAATCTGAAGACTCAGTTCTCAGTCTTCATGTTGATCTTCGTCCCCATGCTCATCTACGGTCATGAGTCGTGGACCATTACTGAAAACCCGACTGAGATGGGCTTTCTGAGACGAGTCACTGGCCTTAAGCGAGTCGACGTTATCCGGCGTACAGAAATGCCAGAAAGCCTTGGTGTACAGCAGCTGCTTCTTTGAGAAGTCACAGCTGCGATGGTTTTGGCAGATGCTATAAATTCATCCCTCAAGGTAAGCGGAGCAACTACTACTTCTCCAGCTGACCCGCAGAAAACAGAGAGGGTGGCAAAGATTAGCCTTGTGCAATATTATTGGAGTCTGTTCTAGACTCCGGTTGTCTTCCGCCCACTGTCAAGTGCTGACACAGTATCGAGAATGTTGGAAGCTTTGTGTGACGCGTCTTCCACCTCGACCCGAAAATCGAGGCCATCGTGGAAAGTGAGGGTTAAAGACGTGATCATAAGGTAAACAAGAAAAGGTGACTAGAATTAAAACTCTGCTATGTGAATGGAAAAACGCAGTCAAACAAAATGAATTCTATTATGACGAAGTCAGAAAATAATGTGGCTCAACCTGTTGTTTCTGACTTTATAGTAAGCGTGATAGAGAGATACACGTCTCATAGATGGGAATGCGAATTTCCGAAAGAACTTTCTTCTGTGTGTTTCCAAGGACACTCATTACGAGTTCTTTATTGGTTTTGATCGCGAGGTTCTAAAGTGTCAAAAAAAATTTTAATAATATTCATGGTCTTCAGCCAAGATATTTATTTCGATTGTAGTCATCCCAAGCTAGCGTCGGGAACGTGGCATTTGCGAAAAGTTGTCTTGAAATTCACTACTGATGGGATGAGCATTAAGCTGCCTTTTTACGTTACTCTATGCCCTCGTACGACGTTTCCAAACCACTTTGAGTGAGACCTCTCACTCATGATGAGTGATGGCTCAATTTGAAAAGTCTCCATAAGCAGCGAGCTTTGAACTTTGAGGCGACGCGAAGGCTACAAGAGGGCTTTCTGAGAGACACAGTATGACCGCAAATGTGCTTTGCCGGGCATTACCCATGACTCACAATCATCTGTCAGAATTTGAATAGAAATCAAGCATTCGGAGAACAAGATCGAAGCGACTTCATCGATCTGGCTTCGATCACAGTTTTCGCCTACCAGATTCATCACAGTCAAATAAACGTATTTCGGCTTCAGAAACTGGCGCCATCTCGTCAGCTGCTGAAGTGGGAACCCAAACATAAACGATGTATGACAGATGAATCGAAACGGAGGTCTGTCGTCGATGAGGAACATTTCTCTCGTAGATGCGGTTAATAGATTGCAATATCAAAACGTAATAAACGCGCTGTGATTGGACGTTGCAAGTCTTAAGCAACCTGCAGGTTTGCAAGGATGCGAAAGATGATTATGACAAGCTGACAAATGCCTACATTTCGAATGTGTGGTGCAATGTTAATTTCAAATGATGCTAATAAGACAAGGCCGTCTGCAAAGAACAAGCTCAGCGTTTCACAATTTCTTGGCTTACTCCTGATTACTGTTTCCATGCGAAAAATGAATAGGAAAAAAGATATACTGCATCCTTGGCGGTT